GTTACCCTCGCGGTCTATCACTGGCAAATCAAAAGTGAGACGGATGACACAACCGCCCCCTGTACTTGCTTGTTACAACATTACAACGTTACAACGGCCACAATAAAAACCGGCCATTATTCACCTCCGCCGACTCCGACACCGGCCAAAATATGATACCCGGCAGTTAATTAAATACAGGCTAATATTAGAGAATTTACGGTATGTAAATACAGTATATAGGTTGGCCACAACCCACAGGCAGAGGTTAGTCATGGGGTGGAGTCTACGGTCGTCATTCAAACAGTCTCCACATGCTATTGGACAACAAACAACATGACGTACTAACTGCTACGTTGATGTCAGTTAATGGGGCAGTCTGCCATATACCACTGAAGAAGACCCAAATACGTTTTTTCTAAAGAAAGGACTTAAGTACCTCTATCTGCTCTTGACTCAAAGAAAAGCCCAAGTCTGAATAGTCCAAAGTCGATGCCAAAGCCATTTCAAACGAGTTGTTGCCATCTTTGTTGTTCTGCTCAGACATAGTAACATCCCGCCCACAAAACCAATGTGACTAGCAAGAAACCGGACTGTTCGGACCTGCTGAGGTTTCTATGGGGCATGGCTAGACCGATCTGTGGTGCAAAATCATTTTGTACCTGTTACTCTCTGTCTAGATTTCTAGGCTAGCTAACCCTGGCTTTACACTGGGCGTTTTGCAGTGCTTTGCTTATTTAAGCTTAGGTCTATTTTTTATGAGCTATGCTTCCAGAACACATCAAACTCAGCAGCTCAGATCAGACCAGACAGCAAGTCAAACACAGGAGCAGTGCAAAGCATCAGGCAAATTTCAAAATAAAACACACGTGCAAATTTCCTACTGCTTAATTATGAATAAATACGTCATTACCTGTGACACCTCCATGGAGTAGGTAAATATAACAGAAAATAAACCAGAGACCTTTTGGATATACGCCACCCACTTTCTCATTGTTTGTTGCGGCATCAAGTGTTAAAAAAAACTTGTGATCCTACAGTTCTGCAGTGATTTTATGATCTCGCATGACCAGCTGTGTGGAATGCATGCCCAGCCGCTGAACATCTGAAATGGTCCTGGTATGAAGGGACGCACCACTGAGCTCATGGTGAAAATGTGTCTAGTTACGCTACACATACACATCTGGTGGAAAGTTGTGGACACAGATGGTCAAGACTCAAAGGTCAGAGTTTAATCAGAACTCATAGTGTCACTCTAATAAGCAAATTAACTCAAAATACCAGCAAAGTGTGCCTGAGCAAACAATGGTCTCCAAGACTATATGTTCACTGTACAGGTCTACAGGCTAAGTTCCAGTTTTTTGATTAAATGGGATTTTTTGTGTGTGGTTCACACTTTGACTCAAAAAAAAAAAATACAGCAAGCACTCCAATGTGAACAGTTCACGGCCCTAAAGTGGCACGCATGCACACATGAAGACGAGACGCTCCGCACAAGGCGCTCTGTGGAGTCAGAACCAGGGAGAGGTGGAGTTGCATGAAAGGATTCACTGACACAGCGTAGAAATCTAGCCAAACCTTAGCAACTCATCAAAGATTCTGTCCTCCAGATCAGTTTCGCCATGCTCCATAGTAGCCTCAGCAGGCCACCATTAACCCCAATAGGTCCAGCCAATCACAGAGCTCTGTTTGTAGAGATGATGGGCGTGCTTAGCAACAGAACTATGACGCAGAAAAACTACAAAAATGGCTTCGGCTCAGGAACGGTGCTCATTTGAAGCAGCTTTGGCATCAAGTTTGGACAATTTAGACTCAGGCTTTTCTTTGAGACACGAGCAGATAGAGGTACAACAAATTGCCTGGGCTGACTGATTTTTATTGGGATGATGTCACGTTTGTGGCTCTTACTGGTGTCCAATAGCACGCAGACCGTCTGAAAGACAACCATAGGTTCTGCCCCACGACTGAACTCTTTATAAGAGGTGTGGTCAGATTATATTCACATACGTAAGAAGGGTCGCTAAACCACCTAACACAAAGTTCATCCTCAGTTTCAGGTTTTCTTTGGTTACTTTATTCGGATTTTGACAATAAATGTCTTTTAGCATCTTTGGTTTAATTTTTCACTCTGTCACAACTTTTTTTCATGCGTTTTGGTTAAAAAATCTTTTTAATCAAACACCCTGACCTGTTTAGTCATGTTCACTCACCTCCACTGTTCAAGTCAAGCCAGTAAAAGAATATAAATGCATAAAAACTGAACATGAGGACTGATCTCTTCCAAGAAGCAAAGCCAAGGACCAGGAACTGAAGGAGAGATTAGCGCTGGTCTGCTGCGGATCAACACTATCTGCAGATCCCTCGTATGCTGACTCACCAGACTGCTCCACATCAGACTTCATCTCCTTAGCTCATGCTGCTAATACAAGTAAACATGCATACAGAATTGTGACCACTGCTAAGCTCTGCTAACACTTCCCCCAGCCTCCATTGAAGGATGCTCACTAGCACTGATTGTGGGTGACTTTAAAATCCACGTTGATGATCCCTCTGACCACTTTGCCATGAATTTCTCCAGCCTTATGGACTCCTTCAGCTTTACCCAGCATGTTTCTGGCCCCACACACACCAGGGGACACACTCTGGACCTTGTTTTTACCCAGAGTCTAAATACTGACAGTGTTTGTCCTGAGGACGTTTATATTTCAGATCACCATTGCATTTTCTTTAACTTGTCAGTTTCTGCGTCCCCACCTCCTGCTCGCCGTATGGTTAGTTCTCGTTTTCTTAATGAGAGCACAGCTAGAACTCCTCCAGCTTCATTGGCTGCCAGTCAACGTCAGGGTTCATTTCAAGATCCTGGTTCTGGTCTATAGGGCCTTACATGGACAAGCACCATCTTACATTGGTGATCTTCTTAGTCCCTACACCCCCAGCAGGTCCCTGAGGTCCAGTGATCAAAGCCTACTGGTTGTGCAGTGCAAAGGTGACAGATCATTTGCTGCTGTGGCCCCCAGACTCTGGAGCTCTCTCCCCCTGAGCCTGAGATCAGTGGACTCAGTGGTCTCCTTTAAAAAACAGCTGAAGACACTTCTTCAAGCTGGCTTTTGTATGACCTTCACCACTCTCTCTTTATTCTGCTCTCCCCACCTATTCCACCTTCTTCAGGATCCACTGATTTCCCTCTTTCCTAGTCAGTCTCTCTCTTTCTTAACATTTTTTCAATCACAATTGTCTATTTTTTGCTCATTTTAAATACATTTTTAACCATTTTCTAAATTCTTTTTTAAATTTTTACATTTTTTGTTTCTGTGAAGCGCCTCGTGATTTTTATCTTGAGATGCGCTATAGAAATGACTTCTTCTTCTTCTTCTTCTTCTTCTTCTTCTTCTTCTTCTTCTTCTTCTTCTTCTTCTTCTTCTTCTTCTTCTTCTTCTTCTTCTTCTTCTTCTTCTTCTTCTTCTTCTTCTTCACTGAGTTCTGGTGCTTGAGTGCTCTGGTTGAAAGACGAGTCCGGACAGATTTGAGTGATTAATGGTGGGTCAGCATGACGTTGTGGTCGTCTTCAGGTGCATAGAGCTGGGTCACAACACGGACGTGAGAGATCTTCTTCACAGCCTTGTGAAACACCTGCCTCATGTCCCGTGTGACATTCAGGGACAATCTGAGTAGAAGAAAAGGAAATGAGTGGAGTCAGAAAAAAAGATGGGACGAGGAAGGGAATAAATGTACCACAGAAAAATAGAAACTGTTCTACCAAAACACAAAATAATTCAAGGAATAGTTCAAGATTTTCCTCTCAGTGTGGAAGTTTTACACTGGCTAACAGGAGCTTAGAGCTATTCCTGGATAGAACCATGTACCCAGGTAATGCATTACACTGAGGGCTGTGAGGTCATCACACTCTGGACCAGCATACTAACACTCACTACTATCAACACCTAAATAAACAATCCAACGTTTAGCATTTGACAGACATTCCCTTTGGTGAACACTTGCAAAATACGACTAAATACCAGCAGAGATTTGGTGGTAGTTAACTTGAGTTAATTTTGATTATTAATTAAGCTTGAGTTAAATAACATTATTCTGCCTAAACCACAGTTACGTTGTCAGGAAAAATCTGTAAAGGGACAGCAGACATTCCCAGAAGCCACTGCTTCATAAAACACTTCCTCCTTTAACTTACTGTAAGACTAGCTGTACTGCATTGCTAATACAGTAATGTACATAAACATTCGCTTTTTAGACCTTTTAATTTTCTAACCTAACAGCTAGCAGTAGCACACGGCTAACGGGGTTAGCATTTCCAGCTTTAATGAGAATTAAATGTAAAAGAACTGCCTTCTGCTTGTGTTAAGTTACTGTTAGGTAGGTGTTATGTTCTCAATCCACCACAAGGGAAGAACTGCAGCACTAGTGGTCTACTGGTAGCTGTAATGATCACCCTGCCATAAATAATTGTGCGTTGGACTTTTTAAAATCAAATGGGATATTTAGGGGAAATAATATATTCACCCGGTCATCTACCAAGGATCAATGTAAATCTTGAACTATTTCTTTAATCAGAGAAAATTGGTAAAAAGAAGGTTATGCATCTACAGACACATCTTCTAAGACACAAAAACAGGTACATCAAAACCACTGACACAGACGTTTGTGGAGTGTCTAATATGTCTACACATACTTGACAGAACACTGATATATCTGAATGTTTACATCAAATCTAAAGATGAGATTACTTTTTAAACAGTATCCGTGTTCTAAAGGTTAACCCAAGACCACATGCACAAAGCAAGACAGGAGGATTGGAAAGCACACCTGTAGATGGGACTGCTGTTTAACAGCAGTGGCAAAGGAACAGCATAGTGAACGACTGATATGTAGCCTTTATTTTAACAAACTTGTAAAGTAGAAGAACTGAGTTTTTGATTGAACAAAAGAGAAGTTTCTTTTTCCTATGGACAAGATCCCCACATTCCCCATCTGAACTGCCTTTAGATATTCTTGCTTTTGTTTGTTTTTCCTTGAATCTTGATGCAACCCTTTTCAAAATCTCACAAGAAATCTTCAGCTAGCGGCTTGCAACATGAAACTAGTTAGTCAGATGTGAGTGATTATGCAAACAACAAAGGGCTTCTTATATAAGCCAAGTTATGACCAGCTCTTTCTTGTTGTAGCCAAGTTTTCTTCCTAAACTTTGAAAGGGTTTCATTCAAGATGCATCAAAGTTTAAACAAACAGCAATAACAGCATAAGACAGTTCATCCCCAGGCTATGTTTGCCAAAGGACGAGTCACGTTGCCAACTTGGCCAGTAATGTTATACATTGTTTGGTAATGCATAACATTACCTCAGTTTTTCTTCTTTGCAAGTTGTTCCTGCTGTTGTTTCGCGGCTTTCCGTTTCTTGTACTGGGCTATCTCGGCCATCTGCAGACCATGGGCCATTTGCCTGTTGAGATGAAGTGAACACCATGATCACAGCGCGCGCGAACAGTTCAAGTCTTTTAAAAAGTTCTACATCATGAAACTTAGACAACCCCTTAGCTTCAAGCTAATGAAGGCACTCCATTGAGACCATCAGTACTTAGATGGCAAAAGATCTCTGCTATGCAGCTACCAGATTACTTTGGACAAACTTTATCCTCTCATTCACTCACTTATTTTCAAAACCACTTAATCCTCAGTGGGGTCATGGGGAGCTGGTGCCTCCTGGACAGATCTTCAGTCAATCACATACACATAGACAAACAACCAATCACACATTCACCCACACTTTGCGACAATAATGAGATACAGGGCAACAACCACCTTCCATCCGTCAGTGCGTTTACATGCAGCCAGTAACCATTTCAAAACCCGAATATTCACAATAACCCGGTTCCGCAGGTCCTTCTAAACACCGCCAAAAACCCGGATATGCTCATAACCGGGTTTTTAAAAACCCGGTTACTACACCTGGGCTAACCCTTTTCTAACCCGAATGTTTGGTCGTGTAAACGCATACCGGGATACCCCCATCAAAGCGTGTGTTCTGCGCATGCTCTGTTCGCAAGGAATCTTGATCTTTTGAGTAGCGGGATGTCTTGTATGCGCCAGAACACCGGAAGTAAACAACAAGTCGGGAGCAAAATGGCGAGTCGCGGCACAGCACCACACTTTTGGAGTGACGAAGAAACTAAGGCGCAAAGAAACGCGGTCGCTATCTCTTCCGAACTGGGAAACATGTTGTTGTTTTCACGGATACCGGAACAAGAAGAACCGGAAATGACGCATATTGCGTCTGGACGTAGTCCATACATCCTGACGCTACCCAAACGTCCGCATTTAAATCGGGTTATGCAAGTTAGAGGTAACTCTTTCTATTTATGCTTGTAAACGGGTTATTCTGATCAACTCAGAAACCCGAATACTGACCTTAACCCGATCATAACCCGGATATTGGCTGCATGTAAACGTACTCAGTGAGAGATGAAATGTAACTGGATCTATCAGAATGACTATGACCCCAAACACATCGCCCAGCAATGAAAGAGTGGCTATGTAAAAAACGATTCAAGGCACTGCAGTGGCCAATCTCCAGACCCCAATCCAACTGAGAATCTGTAGTGTAGAGGGAGTCAAAAATCTGTTTTGCCCACTGATATCCACAAAACATCACAGCTGTAGAGAATATCTGCGTGGAAGAATGGGCCAAAATGTCAGCAATAGTGTGTGCAAACCTAGTGAAGACCTGTTGAAAATGTTTGACCTCTGTCTTTGCCAGACGAGGTTGAATTAAAGTATTGAGGTGATCTTTTGTTACTGATCAAACATTTATTTTCTGCGTGAATTTACAAATTATTTTATTTGAAAAAAAAAACATTCATTGATATTTTGGGGATTTTTTTACTTTCTGTCTCTTACAGCTGAAGTGTATGTTTGATGAAAGTGACAGACATCTCTCAGTGGGACAGCTTGCACAATTGGTGGCTACCAAATATGTTTTAGCTCCACTGTAGAAGGAAATGTGAGGCAATGGTGCATTTAAACGTTAGCTTTCCATGGGAAAATCAAGACATTTTTCCCTGAAAGTTCCTCAGAGAGATTCAACTGAATACCGCAGAGTCCCAACTCATAAGGGATTTTTCAAACTTCACCGATGTGGTCTTTTACAACTAGAGCCATCTCAGCATGTGGAACTTTCTGTTTACGTAATCAGACTTACTAACTTCTGATAAAGTACAGATGTTGACAAAATAACAGCATCTGAAGTTAAGGTCTTGTTACAGCTTTGTTCAAAAAATAAAGTCCATTCTAGGACATCTAGATCAACTACATGGGCTTGATCATGGCTAATCTTACAACCAAATTCAAATGTAAAGCTAGAAACTTCTTAAAAAACCAGTGCAGGACTCAGAATGTAGAACAACGTAGGACAGAGGTTGAGAAAAAGAGGTAAAAGGAGCAAAGGAGGAGTAAGGAGGGAAAGCAAACATGGGAGGAACATGAAGAAAACTCATTCCTACCCAGACTTGAGTTCTGGAGGAACAGGCAGAGGTTTGGTAAACCCATCTCTTCCTACAAGCCAGTATGTCTCTTCTATTCCCTTTCCCTGAAAAAAAAAAAAAAAAAAAAAAAAAAACAATAACAAAAAACAGAAATACAAGCTAACATTTTTTTCACAATGGCAAATTTTATTTCTGTTGCTGTCATGTTGAGGACATGTACCCTAACTTCTGTCCTTCTTCTTAACTCCAACTGGTAGCCAAGATTGAGTTCCCTCAGAACCTTGACGGTACTCTGGTGGACGTGAATCCTGTAGGCTGTTGAACAAACAAAGACCAAAAAGTGATAGCTTTCAGGTTGTGGATTAAGGAGACGTTTGGTGAACAAACATTTCTCACATTTTGTTAAGTTTGCCTTTTTGTCTGGTCAGTTCACACATAAGCACTCGGTCAGTTGTTTTGATTAACTTACGCATCCCGCTGGACTCCATACGAGAGGCAGTAGTTACTGTGTCTCCAAACAGACAGTAGCGCGGCATCGTGAGACCCACCACACCTGCTACACACGGACCTACAGCCCAGCACATACGTACAATCAACATCTTATGACCTTGAAGAGCAGCACTTGGACTTACTCCTGGTTCACATGGCAAGACAATTCCGACACTTTTTGTCCGATTCCAACCCCTCCCGACAGTCTTAAGGTTGGTAGGATTGGTAGGACAAGGGATTCTCTGGTCTGCTCAGACGGATGTCAGGACCACTTCAATGAAAAATCTGGGAAATTCAACATGTTGAACTATCTTGGTCCGACACCACAGTGTGCATGTGTAGCCTGTTTCATGTGATGTGTAGCCAATAAGAAAGTGAGGAGACTCAAGCATGCTCCAAGGAGCAAGGTGGATCCAAATATTTGATCATAGTTATTTACTCTGAAATCAGGTTTGGTCGCGTTAGGTTTTGCATGATTTCTCATCTAACCTGGGAAATTACGTGAGTGAGGTTTGTTTGTACAGTGTGTTGTCTTTGCCACATGGCCGCACACCACACTCTGTAAGATCAAAACTTTTATATCCGTGATATATATTTGTTGATATATACAACATGCCCTATAGGTTATAAATTGAAAGTCGCTTTGGATAAAAGCGTCTGCCAAATAAATAAACATAAACATATACATTTTTTATCACTATGTACGTGGTCTCTCGAGTTCTGAAAATCTGCCGTCAATCCAAAAATCTTGCCAGGTGGACTGGGCCTTAGAGAGATCATTTCACTTCTAAAGAGCTGTCCTTTCACATTTGATTAGCAAGATTCCAATCTTCTGCTCCATTACTAAAACTCCCCTACATGGGGCAAGAGCTGATTGCTAACCCACGTTTGGTGATCCATTCTTTACTTGGTTAGGGTTGGGAGTACTGACCCTGAATCATGATATTCTCTCTCCTTTCTAGCACTTACACTTCTCTAACTCCTGGGCTATGTAAAGTTCAGGTCATCTCAATGTCTAAAAGGTAACTGAACACCCCAAAAACCAAAAAGCCCCATTGTCTCCCACCTGTGTGGAGTCCTATGCGTATTCTCACAGGAACATCAGGCATGTGTCTCATTTTGAACGATCCCACAGCACTGAGAATGTCGAGAGACATGTTGGCAATTTCCGCTGCATGGCGGTTGCTGTTGGGAACAGGTACACCTGAAGCCACCATGTAGGCATCACCAATCGTCTCCACCTAAAGCAGAACACCAGAGAATAAGAAACAAGTCATCATCAAAGATTTGCTCTTGTAGCCAGAACTGAAGTAAACTAAGCAACGATTACCTTGTAGACATCGTGGTTTCCTATGATGGCATCAAAAAGTGTGTAGAGGTCGTTTAAGAGGTCAACCACGTTAATTGGTTCACTGTTGGCTGAGATGGTGGTAAAACCAACAATGTCACTGAAATAGAGTGACACGTTGTCGAAGTATTCTGGTACCACTGTCCCACCCACCATCAAAGCTTCTGCCACAGACCTGGTGGAAGAAGATCCAGGTTTATTATCTATACATGTATTAACATGGCCGAAACAAAACAATCAAAACCTACGGAGGCAGCATCTGAGTTAGAAGCTTCTCTGTTTTCTGTTTTTCTATCTCCAGCTCCTCTGTTCGCTCCCGAATCAGCTCCTCCAGGTTAGAGGAGTACTGCTCCAACATCCTCAGCATGGAGTCGATGATGTTGGTCTTCTTTCCTTTGTTGATGTTCTTAAACTGACCATAGATTGAAACCATTATGTTCAAATTAGTGTTTCAGACATATTTTTTTCTAAATTAAATTAGGTATGTCTAGTCCAAAACGGTAGTAGAAGAAATAAAGAAAGTAGAGCTGCATTCAAACCTGATCAAAGATCTCCTCAAATGTCGGTCTTTTGTCTGGTTGTTCATTCCAGCACTGTTTCATCAGCTGGATGCACTCCATCGGCGCGTAATCCGGACTGACCACCGGACGACACAAAGGAGGAGGTTTACGTAGCCTTTCTAAGATTACTAAAGCACACAAAACATCACTTGTATGTGGATTCCAACAGTAATTAGAAGTCATAATTGGCTTACTGCCATGACACATCCTCAGGGCTGGATTATGTTTACAGAGGCCCCTGGGCACAGAGTTTGAAATCCCTCCCCACCATCCCCCTCATATTTAATGGGTTAGATTGATTGACACATCAAAAATTCTCTCAAATGAAAGCATGCTCTGCAACTCTATATAATGCTAGTAGGACACATAAATCTGTGTTTAACACAAGCAGAAACCAATTCACCTGCGTCAGACATGTCTAACATGCAGAATGGAGGTCCTCTAATCACCACCTCTTGCATGATGATGGAAAAGCTGTAAACATCACCAGGCAGAGTTCCATGGAGTCCTGGCTGTCCACTCCTAAGTATCTCAGGAGCAGTCCACAACAGCTCTGGAACAACCAGTAAAGGGTTTACTTTCTGACTTTAACACAATACAACAATACCAGTTAGAGAGCTGTGAAGGACAGTTTTAGTTTTATCCCACTCTTAATAAATTTCTAACCATTACTGCCCACTCCCGCAACCTGTTTTTGTCACTGACTCCTACAATGTTTGCATCTAACCCTACCTCCACCCACAGATGCATTGTTTAATAAAGCACAAGGACATGTATTACAATCATTTGTGGACATGGAGAAACATGTTGTGTTTCATTTCAGAAGAACAAGCATTCCTACATATAAGATTTTCCGTCCTTTTCTGTAAGTTAATACAAGCCAGTCTTAATTTTACTACCAACGTCAGCTGTAATCTCCATCCAACTGACGATGTTGGGACTAACAGATTGTATTTTACCAGCCTGCTTCCACCCACAGAAGTATTACAACCGCTAGCGTCAGCTAGATTTGAGCTTGCAAGACCCCAGTCCCAATGCAGGCTCTGTTTTTTGTAGTCTCCATCCAACCCCTTCAAGTCAACCCATGTTCAAGAGATTTGCGGCGGGGTACCAGTCCCTTACTCTAATACAAATGCTAAGTAAACGTTTTTATTTCAGGTGCGAACGGAAAAGAGAAGGGTGAAAAAATCCCAGTCAACCTCACCTTCTGGACGTGCCTCAACAAACAGGAACCTCTGTGACTCCAGGACCTCGTTGTAGCCATAGTCTGTCACCTTGAGGACAAATCGCCCATCTACCACACAGTTACGAGACTTTAGACGAGTGTGACACACCCCGTGATGATGAAGGTACTTCATACCCTGAGGAAAAAAATCACCAAAATGTATGATCTGACCAAGTTCAATAGTTTGTTCAACATCTTTTCAGTGGCCTCTAGTAGAAATGAATACCTTGTCAGTCTTTCTCTGAGGTAAAAAAGCTCTCATGCTCCTGTTTCAGGAAGTAGAAGATCTTTAGAGGAGTGGGGGGGCAAAAACAGCAGGATTTGGAGTCTTTTAGCACCGGGAACTTGTTGCGTCACTGCCCTAATGCTCGTGAACCGTCACCTTATCATGGTAGAGGAGTTTGAGTGCCCTAATGATCCTAGGAGCTATGTTGTCTGGAGCACTTTGTGCCCCTGGTAGGGTCTCCTATGACAAATTGGTCTTAGGTGAAGGGTGAACGGTTCAGAGGATCTTTCATGGATGTAAATTCAAAGAGTCGGAGTACCTGGCCCGGAGGGTTACCGGGGTCCCACCCTGGAGCCAGGCCTGGGGTTGGGGCCCGTGAGCGAGCTCCTGGTGGCTGGGCTTTCGCCCATGGGGCCCGGCCGGGCCCAGCCTGAACCGGATACATGGGCTCATCCAACTGTGGACCCACCACCCACAGGAGGAACATGAAGGGTCCGGTGCAGCGTGGATCGGGTGGCAGACCAAGGCGGGAGCCTTGGCGGTCCCATCCCCAGACAAGGAAACTGGATTTTGGGACATGGAACGTCACCTCGCTGGCAGGGAAGAAGCAGGAGCTTGTGGCAGAGGTTGAGCGGTACTGACTAGATATAGCCGAACTCACCTCGACACATAGCATTGGATCTGGAACCCAAGTCCTTGAGAGGGGTTGGACACTCTTCTTTGCTGGAGTTGCTCCGGGTGAGAGGCGGAGGGCTGGGGTTGGCTTTTTGTTAGTCCCAAGACTCTCTGCCTGTGTGTTGGTGTTTAACCCGGGGGACGAGAGGGAAGCTTCCCTGCACCTTTGGGTCGGCGAACGTGTCCTGACTGTTGTTTGTGCTTATGGGCCAAATATCAGTTCAGAGTACCCACCCTTTTTGGAGTCCCTGGGATGAGTGCTCCATCACGGGACTCCATTGTCCTGCTGGGGGACTTCAATGCTCACATAAGCAATGACAGCTTGACCTGGAGGGGTGTGATTGGGAGGAACTGATTGGCCTGATCTAAACTCGAGTGGTGTTTCGTTATTGGAATTCTGTGCAAGCCGCAGTTTGGCCATAACGAATACCGTGTTCGAACATAAGGATGCCCATCGGTACACTTGGTACCAGGGCAGCCTAGGTCGCAGGTCAATGATAGACTGTAGTCGTATCATCTGACCTGCGGCCGTATGTTTTGGACACCTGAGTGAAGAGAGGAGTGGAGCTGTAAACTGATCCCCACCTGGTGGTGAGTTGGATCAGATGGCAGGGGAAGATGCCGCGTAGACCTGGCAGACCCAAACGCATAGTGAGGGTCTGCTGGGAACACTTGGCAGAAGAACCTGTCAAGACGGTTTTCAAATCCCACCTCCGGCAGAGCTTTGACTGCATCCCGAAAGCAGTGGGGGGACATTGACTCCGAGTGGGCCTTGTTCCACTCTGCGATTGTTGAGGCGGCTGTTGCTAGCTGTGGTCGCAAGGTGGCCGGTGCCAGTCGTGGTGGCAACCCCCGTACCCGCTGGTGGACACCAGATGTTCGGGGAGCCGTAAGGCTGAAGAAGGAGGTCTACAGGGCGTGGCTGGTCTGTGGGTCTCCAGAAGCAGCAGACAGGTACCGGATAGCCAAGCGAGGTACAATAGTGGCAGTTGCCAAGGCAAAATCTCGGGCGTGGGAGGAGTTTGGTGAGGCCATGGAGAAAGACTATCAATCGGCTCCAAAGAGGTTCTGGCAAATTGTCCGGCGCCTCAGGAGAGGAAGGCAGCAACTCGCTCCCACTGTTTACAGTGGGGATGGGGAGCTGCTGACGTCAACTGGGGCTTTAGTCGGACGGTGGAAGGAATACTTTGAGGAGCTCCTCAATCTCACCTATGCACATTCCGAGGAGGAACCAGAGCCGGGAGACCTGGGGATGGACTGTCCAATCTCGGGGGCAGAAGTTGCTGAGGTAGTCAAACAACTACACAGCGTCTGAGCCCTGGGGGCGGATGAGATTCGTCCTGGGTATCTCAAGGCTATGGATGTTGTAAGGCTGTCATGGTTGACACGTCTCTGCAACATTGCGTGGCCATCTGGGGCAGTTCCTGTGGAGTGGCAGACCGGGGTGGTGATCCCCATCTTTAAGAAGGGTGACCTGAGGGTGTGTTCCAACTATAGGGGGATCACACTCCTCAGCCTCCCTGGAAAGGTCTACTCTAAGGTACTGGAGAGGAGGGTCCGATCGATAGTTGAATCTCAGATTGAGGAGGAGCAATGTGGTTTTCATCCTGGCCGTGGAACTGTGGACCAGCTCTATACCCTTGCAAGGGTGATGGAGGGGGCATGGGAGTTTGCACAACCAATCCACATGTGTTTTGTGGATTTGGAGAAGGCTTCTGATCGTGTCCCCAGGGGCACTCTGTGGGGGACGCTCCAGGAGTATGGGGTGGGTGGCTTTCTGTTAAGGGCCATTCAGTCCCTTTACCAGAGGAGCGTGAGTTTGGTCCACATAGCCGGTAGTAAGTCAGACCTGTTCCTGGTGAGGGTTGGACTCCACCAGGGCTGCCTTTGTCACCGGTTCTGTTCATTACCTTTATGGACAGAATTTCTAAGCGTAGCCGTGGTGTGGTGTGTGTCAAGTTTGGTGGCCGGAGAATCTCGTCTCTGCTTTTTGCGGATGATGTGGTCCTCCTAGCTTCAACCAGGTCTGACCTCCAGCTCTTGCTGGGTAGGTTCGCGGCCAAGTGTGAAGCAGCTGGGATGAGGATCAGCACCTCCAAATCTGAGACCATGTTTCTCGACCGGAAAAGGGTGGCTTGCCAACTCCGGGTCGGGGGAGAGGTCCTACCTCAAGTGGAGGAGGTTAAGTATCTCGGGGTCTTGTTCACGAGTGCAGGTAGGAGGGATCGGGAGATTGACAGGCGGATTCGTTCAGCGTCTGCAGTGATGCGGACCCTGAGCCGATCTGTCGTGGTGAAGAGGGAGCTGAGCCAGAAAGCCGGGCTCTCGATTTACAGGTCGATCTACGTCCCAGTCCTCACCTATGGTCATGAACTTTGGGTAATGACCGAAAGAACGAGATTGCGGATACAAGCGGCCGAAATGAGTTTCCTCTGTAGGGTGGCTGGGCTCAGCCTTAGAGATAGGGTGAGGAGCTCGGACATTCGGGAGGGACTCAGAGTAGAACCGCTGCTCCTCCGGATCGAAAGAAGCCAGTTGAGGTGGTTTGGGCATCTGGTCAGGATGCCTCCTGGACGCCTCCCCGGGGAGGTGTTTCAGGCATGTCCTGCCGGCATGAGGCCCCCGGGTCAACCCAGGACACGTTGGAGAGTTTACATCTCCAATCTGGTCCGGGATTGCCTTGGGGTCCTGCCGGAGGAGCTGGTGGAGGTGGCCGAGGAGAGGATGGTCTGGAGCTCCCTAGTTGGGATGCTGACCCCGCGACCCGGACCCGGATAAGCGGAGGAAGAGGAAGACGACGACAACAACTTCTAAGTAGTCCTTTTCACACTGGGAGAGTCTTGGCCTTGGCATGGCTTCCTCGCTGTGCTCTTCGTTGGGCTTGCAAGATCACATAATGCCTCAAGACTTCAAAGTAAAATCCAATCTGCCATTAACCCAAACAGAAGGAAATCATGTTTGATATATTGCAGTTATGGAAAGATACTGGGAGTAAATTAGCCATTGGGTCACATGTAAGCTACATACAAATGAAATTGCATTGCTGCATTGCTTTTATTTTGAAAATAACTGGGGATTTCACACTGAAACCGTGTGTGATTTCTGGTCTAGCCCTATGTTAACTGTGAAAAACAATGTGTCCCAGAGGCGGCAAAAACAGAACCCAATCCAATATTTAGCGGTGCGGCGTGCCGCTTCTGGGACACACCTGAAACTTGTTGCGTCACTGCTGGTTTGAAACATTCCATAGACTATAATGGATGCTGTTTGAAGCAGTGACGTTCTGCTGCCTTTCCGCTCCGCTAATGCTTTCTGTGTGAAACCGGGGTAACGCAACTCTACCACTGCTTAATTTTCTCCACAAAATTGATGTTTATCTCCATAAGTAACACAAGCCTGGAGGAGTTCTGCTGTGTGGTGGAGTTGCTAATGCTAATGGTTAGCTTCTACTACTAGACATGCTCTGGTTTTTCCTGCATTCTAAACCAACATCAGCTTTCCTCTTCTTGAGTCAATATGGAAGGGTCCATTAATGCTAATTTTCAGTGTGACATAGATCTGTGTGGCTTCTTCTTTCCCAGTCTATTTTCTATCTATGGCTAATGCAGAAAATAAGGGTAGAAGACTATTTTCATTTCCATTTTTAGTAGTAAAGAAAAATAAAGGGTTTTATGCCATGTTTTCCCTGATTGTATTGAGTTGAGTTTTACTTTCCTCCTAAACGCCAAAATGTACCTTTATCAGATCTAAGAGCAAAGACGACTTGAACATCCAGTCCAGTTTGACGTCGTCATTCAACAGCAGGTCCTCCAGGCTGCCTCTGGAGCAGAACTCAGTCACAATGGCGAACACGCCACAGTCGTGAAAGAAGCCCAGGAAAGGGTTGACATTCTCATGACGCATGTCCTTCATCTGCAGAAAGAATATGTCATTTGGATCAACACCTGTGACATGACAGATTTGCATTCCCTTTTCAGTGTTTAGTTAAAATGTGAGTTTAACCAAAAATTGGGACAAATGTTGTAAGGAGGTTAATTTGTTGGATTACCAAAAATAATGACATTTCCTTTAAAAATTTTGCTGACTTCTATGGTAACAGTTATTTGTACATACCAGAAAAAACAAACTCTATACTTCTTTAATCCTGCTATAGCAAAAATATATTTGGTTTTAAACCTTTCTTTTTAAAAAGTATTATGCTGACTGCTTTTGTTTGTGTGAAGTTACTAGTTGCAAAATTGTCCTTTCACCAAAACAATGGGTTTGGATTGCTTCTCGCACTAATGGCTGAGCATGATCCTCAATGTGTTTCAACAATGTCCCGTACCAGCTGGAACACATCACTGGTTTTGGGGTTGATGTTGCCAAATTTCCCATTAGGAAGCCTCTTCAGCCAAGCCCAGTCCCCCTGGTGGAGAAATCGTAAAATAAACATACATTTGATGAATGCAGGCCAGTTTAGAAGAAATTGAATTTAGCCAGGAGAAATTTGTACATCATAAACTGTCTAACCCTTCTTTTAACCCTCTCACTGTCCTAATGGGTGTGACCCCGTGAGGAAAGTTGAACATTGAGCAGGATTGATGGTTTTTCCCTTGGGTCCATATGGCAGGGGTGAGGAGTGAGCACCACCTCACCCCTGCCACGTGAACCTCAAAGGGTAAATCATCAATCCTGCTCAATGGTCAACTTTCCTCGCGGGGTCACCCATTAGGACACTGGGAGGGTTAAGGGATTTGCTGTGATTGAGCGATTGTTGACAAACTGTGGACCACCATTTTAGTGTTTTCTGTCTGTGGCTGCGTATGATAAATATTACATTATTCTTTTGGTTGGTTATAAAAAAGCATGAGGGGTCTATGCATGTGCTCATTCGTCTTTTAGAAAACTCTCTGATGAACTATTCAGTGGATAAGAATGTCTTACAGCTACATTTACGACTCTACATTTTGGGAACAACCCAATTCAAGATGGCCGACAGTGACGTGGCTGAGTCCTTATAAAGTACTTAAAAATTAAGACTTCTCTCTGGCATTTTATTAAAATTCACACAAGAAAAACTGAACAATCTTTCTGACAAAATCCAGAGTTGCTTGGATATGGTCATATTTATAGTAAACGTAAGATCAGTATGACGCAGCTTAGTTCTCACATGTACATATACTTTTTTTTGCCAACTTGACTCAATGCTTGTATGCTCTTGGCATGTTAAACTTAGAAACAGCTGATTCCCATCGGAATCTCCAATTCTTGGAAAATGTTCAGGTTTTTATTTTGGCATAAAGATAAAAAGAAATTACAAGAGATAATGCTTTGGTCTGCTTTCAGCATTTTCAAACTGAAAAGAAGAATAAGTCAACAAACTTTTCGACTCCATCATTACAGCGAAATTGACACGAGCCTAAACAAAAATGATTTTAAATATAGAGTAAGATATGGCCTAAAAGTCATCCTAACACATATTCTCGGCTCTATGCTTGATCTTTGTTTGAATCTCTGTCACGAACTAAATTCTGGGCTTTTGATTCGCGTTAATTATTTTACAACATCCCTGGCTGACTCACCTCAAAAATGACCACATTAGAGTTCTCGTATGTGGCTGGGGACTGGGAGGAGATGGATGTGTTGATGCTACGTTCAGATACGCTTCTGCCAGCGCTGGTGTGGCTGTCATCCAGACTCAGCTTCTGCAGGAAGGAAAGTGTTTGTAGTATGTGCATGTTTTTAAGTTGGAAGCCAGTCTGTGGGTTTCATTTCTTAAGATCACCAAGACCAGATTTTCAGCCAAACCAAATAAAAGTGGCGTTTAGAACTCTGACCTTGTTGCTTAGAGATGGATTAATAAATGTGACATCATCAAGAGTCAGCAGAATCTTGTTGGGACCTCTGACCATTCGAATCTGATTGATTCGTCGTCTGGGAAACAAGAGATAAACGTGAATAAAAAGTTGCAAATGCATATCTGTCCTTGTTGCTTGAGACCTTAGGCTGCTTTAGTGAAATTGTCTTTGTGATTATGTACCTGATGCAGTACAATAGGAAGGCAGCTAAAACAGAAGCAGCAATGGAACCAACGAACATGCTGAAGGTCAACAACAGATCAACACCTGCCAAAGAAAACAAACAAAAAAACTTGTATATGTTGGTTGTTGTTATAATTGTAGATTTAATTTGTGGGAAAAAAAATAACGGTTTACGGTTGTAATTTTTTTAACTAAACCAAAAGTAAGTTCTTAGTTGTTGTGATTGGTAAAGGTCTTCAAAACATCCAGATGTCGTGACGACACATCGTTCTCTATAGATTTTCATGTTAGTCTAGTCCTCACCTCCTGAGCAGATGACTCCAGGAGTAAACCAGCAGGCAGCATCTCTTCTAGGTCCATAGCCTTTTGGGAAGTGAATTTCTTTACCCAGGAAGCGGACCATCCCAATCTCCATGTCAAGGCTATCATGGGTTATTTAGATCAGTGTTTAATTTTGTTCAGAATATCTTCTCAAACAGTTATGTCCAATTTTAAACTCAAATTCTGCATGTTTTAGATGTTTCTCTGCTGATGAAACACTAAAAATAGGACACCAGCACATGTCTACCTGTATGTTGGCATCAGATGCAAGGTGGACCCATCTGTGTCCAGGATTAGGTAGTCAAGCTGGACCTTTCCAGAGCTGCTGGTTTTGACAGAGTGGCTAAAGCCCTGCAAAGTAAACGACTAAATGGTAAATGGCCTGTATTTGAGATAGCACCTTCTAGAGTCCTGGAACCCCCCAAGGTGCTTTACAACACAATCAGTCATTCACCCATTCACACCCTGGTGGTGATGAGCTACCCTGGGGCACACCTACAGAGACTGTTTAGAGTGAAGCTATTTTGTTATGTCAGGAAGGATAAAGTAGAAAAACATGAATACAAAGGTACACGTTAGAAAACATACTTATTTTCTCAGCTAAATGAATGATAACCACTGTCCAATAACCACCTAAAAACGTGATCTTTAGTCAATGATCGCATAAACAAGATCGGGCAAAATCGGTTTCATAATTAGCGGCCTGACTCAGTAAACTTAAAAATTGCAGTCTTCTCTTTACCTGGAACTCCAAGTCACGTGTCCGTTGTGCCAGGTTTTGTCCGGACATCCATTCTCCAGACTGCCGAACATGATGCACTGCATGAGCCATGTACAGGACTGAATTGTAGATGGTACCAAACAATGGAGACACCTGCAAACCAATACCAAGGTCAGCATCTTTCCTTATGCGAGTAACACCCATGATTGCTTGTCTCCTGCCACTTCTGGTTCATGTTTGACCTGCTGAGGATTCACTGTCCTCGCCACCTCTCCTCTGTTCATGGCTTCTCTGTAGGCTTCATAGAATGACACCTTGGGAGAGTCGATGGTGATGGTCAACACAGCATCATACGCCCGCAAGAGTTTGTCATTGCTCTTTAGAGCTGGGTAGGTCACGTTGCGGTAGGGCAAGCTGTAGAGCAGAGTGTCATAGGCCACAAACACCAGGGAGCCGTCGATCATCTTCATGTCGTAGGCCGTTTCCAAGAGGAGCTTCTGGGCCGAACCACCGATCAGCGCAGAATGCATACAAAGGATCACAGCTGTGATAGGGCATAACACAGAGGATCAGAGTCAGTCAGATGACAAAGGCAACTCATTTTATATGGAAATTATTTTTATATTTTGTGGCAAACATATCTTTCATAAGCGTGACTAACACATCAAAGAAGAGGAGTAAGCTTTTGTCAAAATATCAAAGAAGTTGACACATTCAGTTGGACCATTTCAATTTCAACATGTTTTTATTATGACATTAAGAAAACATCACCTAAGTAATTTAGCATATTGTATCAACTACACACAAGTACTTGCACCTCGTATTTCTTTCATCTTGCGAACCTTGGCCAGAGTTCGTCTAATGCCATGAGGTGTGTTCTCCATGAAACTAACCAGTCTCACTGGCATACCATGGCTTCTTAAGGATTCTGCCACCTAGGCAAAAAGAGGAAAAGCAAGCCAAATGGGTGTTCATGCTGCTAAAACTTCAACAAATCTGGTTTCCTTCTTTGTGATACCCCTTGTCTAGTGTTTACTTAACCCTGCCACTGTCCTAATGGGAGCGACTCCTTAAGGAAAGTTGACCATTGAGCAGGGTTGTTGGTTTATCCCTTGGGTCCATGTGGCAGGGGTGAGGAGCGAGCACCACCTCACCCCTGCCACGTGGACCTCAAGGGATAAACCATCAATCCTGCTCAGTGGTTAACTTTCCTCATGGGGTCACCCATAAAAACAGTGGGAGGGTTAAAGTGCATGTTTGATTTTCACATAGAGAGATGGGAAAAGATGGACATTCAAACCTTTGTCGCTGTATCTACCCAGATATCCTCAGAGGAAGAGATGATGCCAATGTGAGCCCACCTAAAGTAGCTCATGACGCTGTAGAGCACCCAAGTAGGGCTCGCCATAGATCTGGCGAAGGTCGGATGGATCCGGACATCGTCCAACTCGTAGCCAACACAAGCCCAAGGAAATATTGCCTTGAAGAATATTGTAGAGGCAAAACTATGATGACTAAGTCCTTATTCTAATACGCATTACATAAATGAAAATGAGTTTATCATGATGTTTAAATATTCATCATTCCTTCAAAAATCCAACATTCTCACATTTCCACCTACTTTGTTCCAGCCTTTACTCAGCAGTGAAGCCGCATCACAGTATCCAGGATTGCCAGGTCCAATGAAAGCGGAGGCTTTGGTGTGGAAACCCACAAATGCCTCAAGTCCCCGTGATGTCTCACAAGGTTCCTGAAAGAAGACATGTTAAGGTGAAACTCAAAAAATGGAATATTGAGTTTAGAATATTTAACCTTTTCACAGTATTCTAACTGTCTGAGATTTTGAATGTGGGGTTTTCGTAAGCTGTCAGCCATGATCATCATAATTATAACAAATAACGACTTGAAATATCTGAATTTGCATCTAATGAGTCTATCTGATATATTACTTTTTTGCGCCTTTTATGCTGAATTAATGAAATAAATGAATGTTTGCACCATATTCTAATTGTTGGGGATTTACTATAGCGGAACGTCTTGGCTCAATAAACCTTGTGAGTCAGGGATGTAACTTTTGTTTCAATTGCTTTGAAGGATGTGGGTGCATGCAATTGTTGGTAAAAAACAAAAAAAGTGGTATAGACAGTGAAATTTGATACTAGAGGAGAAACATGACCAATTACATCTGCACTGATGTGCAGCAATTTGATCTAATTGAACATTTACTCCTTATTAATATGATCCTTTTGTACGCAGATACTAATTTGTTATATATATCTGAAACATGGTTCTGCAACCCAACTCCAATCTGGTGTAAATGCATTGTCAGAAGGATTTTATCTTTGTGGTGCCAACAGTCTGATCTCGATTTCACATTCAAAATATCAGTGGTGCGGAACGTCACTGCTTCAAATAGAATCCATTATAATTTATGGAGTGTTTCAAATCCGCCACGACGCGGAAATTTTCAAGCACATTCTAGAAGTGGCACGCCGCTGAAGATAGGATCGGGTTATATTTTTGCCCTGAGCTGCTTCTGGAACTCGTCAATTTCCGCAGGGAAAGGGCTAGACTGGAAATCACACACTGTTTCAGTGTAAAAACCCTGATAATTTTCAAAATAAAAGTACTGCAGCTATGCTATTTCATATATATGTCGCTCACGTGTTTTTCATGGCTTTAATCATGGCAGTGGAGAGGAACAACAACCTATATGACATCAAACAGCGATATCAAACGTGATTTCCTTCTTTTTGGTGGGCTGCATTAACAAACCATGACTTTTGAAGTCTCGTGGGTTCTTGTTATCTCATGAGTTAAGTAGGGAGCACAGCGAAGAAGTTATGCCACGGCCAAGACTCTCCCGGTGTGAAAAGGACCGCTTTGAAGTTTACAAGTGAACCGTTCCACTACCGTTTCGTGCCGCTGATACTTCCAGTGTGAAATCGAGGTGAGTCTGCAGGATAATTGGTTACATCTTACAGGTTGATTATAGTTGCATGCACGAACAGCTACTGAGAGATGTGATATGGGACTAAAACCACCAGGTGCAACACTAAATTGGGGAGATTGTCACACTTCCACTTAACTGCGTGACTCTCGAGATATCCACATACGTAAAAGAGAATTGCAAAACTTAGGATTTATTAAAGGCTTAAATCTCCCACCTGCAGCACAGCATAGTCAAACGTAGCAGCATAGGACAGCGAGCGATCTCTGTTGATGCGGCTGACAGCCAGTTGTGCTGCTACATTCGGAAAGGCCTTCCCAAAGATGGGGTCGCACCCCCATGGTCCCACTACCCCAACCTTAAACCAGGCTGCATGCGCTTGGCAGGGTAGGAAACACAGAAGGGTCAGGGGAACCAAGAGGGACTTCAGGAGCCCTTGATAGGGTGGATGGAGAAAAGTGTGGTAAAGCAAAAGAATAGAGAATTGGTCCTGGGGCGATGGAACAGTGAAAGGTAGCTTTGGAGCAAGTGGACTTGATGGAACAGAGAGATGAGTGGGATTAAAGTAGAAGGAGGACAGGTGGATATCAGGAGCTTCTTCCATGTTTGAGGCAAGGAGTTGAAGGCACACTGCAGTAGAAGCTTCTCAAGTCTCACCACCTCCAGAGCTCAGGATTGTTTCTGAAACCAGAGGTTGGAAAGATTTACTGTGAAACATAAGAAGCTGTAACTTATTAAATGCACATGTGACCTTGTACATCTTGACTTATCAGAGATCTTAAATCCAAAGAATGCTACATTATTGACGTGGTGGTTTCTTTGAGTTGTTTAGGATGTTGACTGTAAAAATAATCAAGCAGCTTGGATTTTTTTAAAGGATGCTTGTGTGTTTATTGATTGTTATTTGGGTACTCTATATTAAAGATTGTTAGCTTGTTTTGATCAATCAGGTGTCCACGTCCATCCGTGAAAGGAGTTATTAGTTTTTGTGTAAAGCAGATTTCATCTTAAAAATGCCACTCTGGTTCATTACACTGGCGACTTCTGACACAGGATTCACTGAAGACAGCAAAAGACAAACTGACATTTATATTTTTACACAATAGCAAAAAAATGTGAAGATAAATTAGACAGTTAGGAAAACGCTTTATGACCAAAATGTGACAACACATTCATACAACATTCATAACATTTTTTTAAGAGTGGCACATGCAAATATAGTTTCAACTTTTCTCAGTTTATTCCCCAACCACTGCAGTGAACAACTGAGTTTAGTAAAGCATTTCAAAAGGTCTAAACTAGTATTTTATGGGTCATTTTTAGAAAGACTTGATGATAAAGTTGACTGATGAAAAAAAACCTCATTTATTCTATAAATTAGTCATGCAAAATCAGTTTTTTTTAACTTATAGGAAATTTCCGTTTTTATTCTGGTTATCCTCCTGTCTTAAATCTATGTTAAAGTTTCCTACCGAGCATGGATGAAACAGACGAGGGTCAGGTTTAACAGGATCAGCTGTTTTCATTGCTTCTTTGTGATTTAACATCCAAAATGTCCTCAGAAGTTGTCCTGAAGATACATCCCAGTCCCTACCATACCTAACCAGTCGCTAGGTACGGTAGTCCGTGGACTCAGAGCCTACGTGTCTGTAAGACTGTACAGGACGACCTGGACATGGGGTGTGACCTGTGCTGTCAGATTAAATCAAATCCAATCAGAATCATATTATGGCTGCTCCATTATGTGACAATTGTATTTTCATTCAAGTTAGTCACCATACGTTTAGAGTGCTAATGGTACCAGAATATAATAAAATTACCATAATTATTTGAACTATGTTTAATTGCACAAAATAAATTATATGTATATATATGTGTGTGTGTATGTATGTATGTATGTATGTATGCATGTGTATATATATATATATATATATATATATATATATATATATATATATATATATATATATGTATAACTGTATATATATATATATATATATATATATATATATATATATATATGTATATATATATATATATATATATATATATATATATATATATATATATAGTCTCTCAGTTACATAATTTTGGATCCAGTTAAAGGCCACACCCCTAATACCATATCTTTCCAGTTTTTTATTTTATTCATTTATTTATTTTTTTCATTTTAACAATATTGAATTGTTAATAGTAGCATCACTTTTTTAAAGTCAATGAATATTCCAGCTGCATATTGTTTCTCATCTAAACTGTTTGTAATTTCTTCCACTGCATCAATTATGGCCCTTGATGTTGCCCTTACTGACCTAAATACATACTGACTTTCATCAATTATTTTGTCTATCATTGTGTTTGAATGTCTTTCTAATTGGATGTAATGTATTTCATTGTCTTTAATAGGGATTTTCTTTGCTAAGTCTGGTCTGACGTCAACAAGAAACTCATTCAAATCTTCCTTAAGCGGCTGATGCAGGCCGGTGAAGACTGTTTCCACGATCTGATTGTGTTTCTAAGACAACAACTGCAAGGTTTCTCAGTAATAAAAGCTCCCCTTTAACAAAAGCATTATTGTGTTTCTTCTCTACATACATGTTACAAAATTGTAAATTTCATTTGATTTAGCTGATTTCTTATTATTTATGATGTCAGAGATCAGTAAGCGCAGGACCCCTGCCGAGGCTCCCCACCCAGTCATGGCTCCAGGAGAGTGGCCTGATATCCCTTTTGTGAACAAGGTACCCTGTTTGGATGAAGGCCAAAGCTTTGTAGCAAGGTAAGGATGCAATGTGACCAACACGGACAAACCAATAAAAACAGCAACCTGGGTAATTGGTTAGAAAGTAATGATGAGCATGTACAAAACAAGCTTCTACATTATTGTTTCTTCAAGTTCCTTTCATGAACTAGATAAAACAGTCACTGAGGTGACATGCGCTGCTTCATGGCTGCAGGAACTGAAGTAGGGATAGTCTCAACCCACCACCCCACCTAGTGGACACTTACGTTGTGTTGTTTGAAGTCTATTGCATATCTGTTTGAGGTGGGTTTTTTTTTTTTTGTAGAGCAAAGCTGCCCTCCCGGCGGAGGGTAACTCTGAAGTGCCTTTTTTCCCTCCACCTGAACCAATCCTCATGTAACCCTCTTATCTCTATTAAGGTAGCGCGACTCAGGGTTGCGAATGACCACAGTCACCAATTCTTGTCATGTGTCTTGCCCATGTATGTCTGATCTCTGAATTGTGTGTACTGAAACTCTAATTTCCTTCTGGGATTAATAAAGTATCTTTGATTTGATTGATTCTTAAAGTTGACATGTTACCGGGATGATTTATTTAGAAATAATTAAGAAAAATGGGTACATGCTGGATGGTTTCATAATTCCAACAATTTCATCCAACATATCTGGGGATACAGAGTCAAAAGAATTCAAAGTAGTTGAATCAAAACAGATTTCTTCATCAATAAAACTAAATTGCTGGGGAATTTGAGCTTGAATAGTTTCAGTTTTGCCTATAAATTATGTCAGAAACCTCTCAGCAGTAGTCGAAGAGTCTGGATGTGAAAGGTAGCTTATATATGTATATATTTTTCTGCTATGTGATAACTATGAACAACTTAATAATTACGTCAGGAACAATTATTAGTAGGAATAATAACTCTTGATGAAGACACATAAGGTGTCAAAACACTCATTTTTGTTATTTGCACCAGTAAAATTGTATACTCATTTTAATGCTCCACCTCTCCTGCTTCTCATTCTGAATGTCCTCCAGCTGTAGAGCACCAATCTGAGTGGATGGCACGTAGAGTTTTATCTTCTTCATTTTAATGATAGTTTATTGATTACTTGAATAACAATGACAGAATAAAACAAAACACAACAAAGTTTATGGTTCTAGAGTTTATAAATGTTATATTAATTTACATTCTGAGCTCTTTATCTAAATGCTTTGCAGTATAAATATACAACGGGCTTCAATTCCAAAGAAAAAGAAAAGTGCATGAGTTGAGCATTCAGGTCTGGTGATGACCACCAGAGTGCAGCACAGTACAGGAACCTCCACCACCCCAGTGGATCCGGTCCAGGACAGCTGGTGCTGCTTTAATAAAAACGGAGCTTACTCACATACATTTTCACATCTTTGGCTTCCCTCAGAGTCCCATGCTTCAGCTTGAAATGTTGATAAAGTCACCATCAGATATGGCAACACATGTCCTCTGCTCTTTACTATTTATAGCATATGTGTATTAACTGGCGGCACAGTGGTTAGAGCTGTTGCCTTGCAGCAAGAAGGTCCTGGGTTCGCTTCCCAGCCTGGGATCTTTCTGCATGGAGTTTGCATGTTCTCCCTGTGCATGCATGGGTTCTCTCTGGGTACTCCAGCTTCCTCCCACAGTCCAAAAAAACAAAAACAAAAAAAACATGACTGTTAGGTTAATTGGTCTGTCTAAATTGTCCTTAGGTGTGTGTGTGTGTGTGTGTTGCCCTGTGTGTCTCTGTGTTGCCCTGCGATGGACTGGCTCTCTGTCCAGGGTGTACCCCGCCTGACCTCTGGAGATGGGCACAAGTCCCTGCGACCCCACGTGGACAAAGCGGGTTCAGACACTGGATGGATGGATGTGTATTAACTGGTTCACATTTCTCCTCAGGTGGCCTTCTGTCACATTTTCAGCCTTTAAAGCTACACCCCCATGTAGGTGACCTGAATGACAGAAGTAAAGTCTATCGTTTAAATGTTTTTTATAGTTGTTGTTGCAGCATGTGTTTTATATTAAAGCAGAGGGAGCCCAGGGCAGGCTGTCCAACCTGCATTAGAAAGTTACACCACTGTGTAACATTAACTCTCCCCAAACCTGACTGTCAGGACGAAGACAAGTCAGTCCAGATGTGAGGCACCGACCTGCCAGAGGAACCCTCCTGTCTCCACACACACACACACACACGCACACACACACACACACACACACACACACGCATGCACGCACGCACGCACGCACGCACACACACACACACACACACACTTGAAAACTCAAAACCTCACTGACAAAAACAGACGAGTGGGAATCAAACTACAATACAAACCTGCATACACACAACTGTATTGCAGTGATGACAATTTGAGATTAAACGGGACTCTGCAGTCCCATGCCAGTCGGGCGTGGCACCCTCTCAGGACTGGAAAACCGCAGCGATTTGGTTCAGACAGGAGTCACACAGCTGTTATTACTGGCCCTTGACATCCAGCACACCAGCTCTGGGCTCTGGGCCGATTCCACACATGTTCAACTGGACAACAATCAGAAGAACTAGCTGGTCTCAGCAGAATCTGAGTGGGATCTTTTATTATTATAAAAGTAACCATGTCCCTCTGAAGCTAGCTTGACTTTATGCTTTCTAGATCTGCAGCTGTGTACCATTGTGGAATTCATATGGAGGAAGGCGGGGTTTGCTTTATACTGAGCGTCTTATTTCCAGGTTGAAGGATCAGGAAAAAAAACTTATATTTAATGAAAAATGACATGTCAATAGTGCCACATATTTTATCTTCTAACTACTGTTCCTCTGGAAGGTGTAACATAGCATGATACAGGCCCCTTAACGTTCATGGTTTCATCTTAATAAACCTAAATGCTGAAAAAGAACGTAAAAACACGTAA